ATAGACCCCTTGCAGTTCATGGGAATGCAGCTCCAACTGGAGGACAAAACAATAGATTCTAGTTCCCAAGAGGATAAAAATCTTTTGTTTTGTCCTCCAGATGAAGCTGTTTTGACGTCACATGCAAGGGGTCTATAGAATGTTTTACAAAGTTGTACTAGATCACACCATGACGTAAACTCTTAGCAAGAAAAAAGGAAGAACGAATAGCAACTCAAATTTATGAAAATTTTATTTTGGTGKCCGTATTGGTCTACAAACGTTTACGTGAAGTTKATTAWTATTAGCGTTTTAAAGGTTTTTTTTCTATCAAGAGCAGCCCATCTCTGGCAAAGTCGCATTTAGATCCGTCTTTCTAGTACACTATTATACTTAAGTCAACAATCTTCGAGTTGTGTTGCCATTGCCTGCTTGATCTCTATTCGACGGAAGTCGTTTATATTTCAGAAATGTCCAATGTAGCGTATTCCACATGAATTGAAGTCGAGACTTTTTAAATACATATAAATGCGATGCGGAAAGTTGTTAATTTATACGTTGTCGACTTTTCTTTCAGGTTTTTATCATGCAACTCGAAGGCAAAAAACTATGGAAACTTTACAAATGCCCAACAGAGCTTCCTCAGGATTACAGCCCCGATTTAGAACAAGACAACATAGGGGAACCGACCCATGAGTTTGAACTACAGGTGACGTATCTTGAAGATTTTTGGTCATGCAACTGGAAAACCAAGAGAATATAGCCTTTTATTCTCACCTTTTTGCATTGAAATTGTTGCATMTTATWACTCGTGCCCGGACCKCAGACCGGCTGCGRCACGAGGTATAAAATGCAACGCGTATACGTTTTTKTGACTKCAATCGCTGGCTTAAGACAACATTTGTTTCTATCGTCTGTTTAAATTTGTTAAACTGCAATGTTAACGCGTTTGCGTGGGGCTTACAACATTTTTCAGCGTCAACGAATACTGCTCACGCGCTTGTACTCATTGTTGAAATGACCTCGCAAACGGCTTTATTATCAGATCAAATAAATGGTTGTAGGTTGACAAAAGCTCGACAAAAATAAATAACTTTTAGGTTGAAGTAGGCTTTATTATCATTCAGCATTTTCTAGAACAAGAGAAATGTTGAAAGGATATTGAAAAACATTTAAACGCTCTTAAACTGATTCAACATTGATTGGACACGTTTCTGTGTTAACATTTTGAAAGTCCTGCGCAAACAAGTTCAACATTTTCGTTTAACAGAGTTTTGAAACAAATGTTGAAATAGTTTGCGCCGGCCAGAATACCAACGCTATGACCATTGAAGTTCATTCCGAAGATCTGGTTGCCAGTGAATAATAGTGCGAATGTTTTATACATTATATGAAAAGCTTTTCACCCTTGAACAATACCAAGTGTATCATTGATCTTGTTTCATCAACCAATAAGTTATTTTATTACCAAGCTTTCGGACCTTAGGCCCATCATCAGGGTTAATGGAGTCAACACTAAAAAACKTTACAAATCCACGCACGATATGGCGTAAACAACATTATCCTCGAGCTGACATTCCAGCTGACAAGAAAACTGTTCACGTTACACGAAAATCTAGCGAAACAACGTTGCCACCTGTATTTCAACCATCGCTGTAAAGAATACCAAATCTTGCCAAAGCCATTGCGTATCCGCCCT